CGATAAGGGGACAATGCAACTCTTCTATAAAAGTGCTGTGTTAGATTAAGAGCAATGGATTCGTTCTTGCCCCTCCCTAAAGGGGGCCTACTGCTTGGAGGGTCCCTTCTTCCTGCAGGATACCCGTGTGAGAGACATCTGAAAGGTGGAATCAGGCTTGCGGTGAGAGTGCATCTGAGCACACAATTATTTATTCAGGCAGCTCCATGTTAAAGAGGACTTGTCATGGTCGAAATATGGAAGCTGCCATTTGCTTTTATTAAAGGTGCAAGGCTTGAGTGGTCATTCAAATCCTTGCTGCACTACCTGGTGAGTTTATGGCCTGCAATATGCAACCAGCTGAGCTGCAGCCTTAGTCAGTGACATGATGGGGGTGATGGTTTACTAAAGGAGTAGTAGAAACTGTTCACTTTGCAAAGAGTTTGTGCACTTGGCTCAGTAAATCAGGTGAAGCTTTGGTCACTCTAATCAACCAATTATGTGCAAGAGAAATTAAAAACAAAATTTGCTAGCACATGATCGGATGATTTGAGTGAAGGCAGCTTTGCCTTATTTACAAAGCTAAGTGAACACACACTCGCTGTATTCATCAACTCCAATGAGTAGTGAAGCAGGGAGATGAGAATGACAGAGATTACATCTTTGAATATAAGACTGCAATGACTTGGCACTTCTAGTCTGACAGGTCCTCTTAAATAATCAGGATTAATGTACAGATATGTAATTCAATAATGCAGTATATATGTAATGGGGGGAATTTACCAACAGTGGAGCAGCTGTGCATGGCAACCAATCAGCTTCTCTCTTCAGATTGTTCAGTTAAGGTTTGAAAATAAAAGAGAGAAGCTGATTGGTTGCCGTGCACAGCTGCTCCAGTGTTGATAAATTCCCCTCACGGTATATAAATATATATATATACTGTTGCCTATGAACACCAATAGCTGCTCTCGGGCTTCTATGGATTACCGCACATCATTGCACTTTGCCCCGTATCAAATGCAATAAAACCCCAAATGTATCTGTAGTCAACTGCCAACTTTCTCAGAAAACGCTAGTTCCCTGTCCGTCGTGTCGATTCTCCCTCTTCATGGCCTAGGCAGCTACCACTTTCAGAAGGGGCGGTGTGCAATGACATTGCATGTATTTCCCTCGTGACAGGTCCCCTTTAATAAGGCAAAGTACAATTTTTATAAAATGCAGCTATCCACAGTAACCAATCAGCGGGCTTCTTCCATTGTTCTGGCGTAATAAACGTTTTTGCCATTCAGGGCAAAGTGACGGGTTCATTTGACATTTAATCCTCCTGTCCCATTGCACTCCTGACCGGACAAAAACCCAAATCCAACTGGGTAGGTGCGGTGGTGACAACGGATGCCTCCGTGAAATGTAGATGGATGAAAGTAGTCACTCGCACGCCATGATATTAAAGGCAATGCTGTTTATTGACTGAGATAACACACATCTCCTTAGGGACGTTTCGAGACCATGCGGCCCCGTCCTCAGGCAAACAGCCGCATGGTCTCGAAACGTCGCTAAGGAGATGCGTCTTATCTCAGTCAACAAACAGCATTGCCTTTAATATCATGGCGTGCGAGTGACTACTTTTATCTATCTAGGGTTCACTTGACATGACACGGCCAACCACCCTCTGACACTCCCTGATATTGGTAAACTCAGCACCCTGGGAAATACCCAGTACTTCCAGGTATCGAGGAGCATGTGACCTTCCCTTTTTTCCCCCCAGGATGCAATGCTCGGCCAATCGCCAGGACTGATAGTGCAGGGGAGGGGTGAAGGTCGCTTATCACTAGACTTAGGGCTCCAATGGGCAAACGGAATGGTGGGGAACATGTGAGGGGTAAGTATCAGGATACCTTGCCAAGTGAAACTGTCACTTTGCTTATTCAGATTCTCTCATCTGATTGGTTACTATGTGTGACTGCACTTTGAACGTCACCCTTATGTTGCATCGATAAACAGGCTTAAAGGAGAACTATGAGATGAGTGATTTCCACTCACCTCATAGTTCTAGCCGACCTGTGACAATGAGACTGTCACAGGTCGGCTCAGTAGATCGGGAGGTGAGCGAACACATACCGGCGTTCGCTCACCTCTCGATCCTGTCACAGCTCTCTGCCGTGACAGGGGGATCGGCTGGATTCCCCATCTCCCCGATCCGATCTGCCAGCGCTGACTGGCGGAACGGACGGGGGAGGGGCGGGTACAGCTGGCTCTGCCTCTAGATAGGCAGAGCCAGCTGTCACTTACGCAGCTGGGCGGATCCTGTCATCTACGTCGGGATCCGCTCCGGCTGCGGCGTCTCAGTATACAGGGAGCTGTAGCTCGCGGTATACTGAGCTTAGGGTAACGGGAGGACGCTAGTTTGTGTCCTCCCGTTACCCTTAGGAGAACTATGGGGAAAAACAGTGACCCCATAGTTCTCCTTTTAAGATCGGGGCGGAGGCTCATTTGACACATTGGTACGCTTTAGCCATAAGACTTTGGCAGATTTTCCCGAGTTCCCGGATATTCCCAAAAATAAATCTCAGTCCTTCAAAAAAGAATAAAGAATATATATAAAAATCTGTATATCAGTAACGTAGCTTTAACGGTCAGAGAGCGACCCAAGAGTTCCATTGGAGAAAAATATCCAATTCAGTCTGGTGGGACGAAGCCCCCCTGGGTTTACAATGAAGTCCAGTCTATGGTGGCCCACGTCTAGCTGGAGATGAGCCTACTGATTTTGCTGAGTTTTTTTTTGTCCCGGCTGTGGTGGCCGTGATGGTGGGGGTGGATGGGTTTGACAGAGCCTTCGTAGTTGTGGCTGGACTCGTTGTGTTGCCTGGTGTATCTTTTGCACTTGCAGGAAGTCACCACCGTCACTTTGTAGGTTCTGCTGGTGCCGTCGGAGCACTGCAGCTGTATGCGCTGGGTCCGCGTTTTGTCGTTGACGCAACGCCATTCCTGGGTGCTCCTGCGGCTCCAGTATTTGAGACCGTATCCACCTCCGATCCAGTTGGGTAAAATGGGAAGAGGAAGGCACTCTCCGGCACAAACCAGTTCCTTTATTGGCCTCAAACTAGTGCACTGGCCGTCCGAAATATACTTGGTGGACCTCAGTTCCCGGCACCCAACTTGATTATGGTCTAGAAAAAGATCAAACAAATGGACGTTATTATATGCTTATAAGATATTCTTCCGACAATAATAATTAGTGTAACCATTCTCTCTAGCTGTAACAGCGCACCAGAGGACAAAATTCACACTCAATTTTTACATTTCTATTTTTTGGTAGATGCAGGAAAGTTAAACCCCCTAACAGGTTCTTCTCTAGGGGACTCTGTTGGCGAGACCTGTGCTGAGTTCCTGGGTCTGTTCACATGCTGTGGCCATTATGAGGGGTTCCCACTATCCCTGCACTGAGTTCCCGGGTCTCTACACCTACTGTTCTCATTATGAAGGGTTCCCACTATCCCTGCACTGAGTTCCCGGGTCTCTACACCTACTGTTCTCATTATGAAGGGTTCTCACTGTCCCTGCACTGAGTTCCCGGGTGTGTACACCTACTGTTCTCATTATGAAGGGTTCCCACTATCCCTGCACTAAGTTCCCGGGTGTGTACACCTACTGTTCTCATTATGAAGGGTTCCCACTATCCCTGCACTAAGTTCCCGGGTGTGTACACCTACTGTTCTCATTATGACGGGTTCCCACTATCCCTGCACTAAGTTCCCGGGTGTGTACACCTACTGTTCTCATTATGACGGGTTCCCACTATCCCTGCACTGAGTTCCCGGGTGTGTACACCTACTGTTCTCATTATGAAGGGTTCCCACTATCCCTGCAATAAGGTCCTGGGTGTGTACACCTACTGTTCTCATTATGAAGGGTTCTCACTATCCCTGCACTAAGTTCCCAGGTCTCTACACCTGTTCTCATTATGAAGGGTTCCCACTATCCCTGCACTGAGTTCCCGGGTCTCTACACCTACTGTTCTCATTATGAAGGGTTCCCACTATCCCTGCACTGAGTTCCCGGGTGTGTACACCTACTGTTCTCATTATGAAAGGTTCCCACTATCCCTGCACTAAGGTCCTGGTCTCTACACCTACTGTTCTCATTATGAAGGGTTCCCACTATACCTGCACTAAGTTCCCGGGTCTGTACACCTACTGTTCTCATTATGAATGGTTCAACTATCCCTGCACTAAGTTCCCGGGTCTGTACACCTACTGTTCTCATTATGGAGGCTTCTCACTGTCCCTGCACTAAGTTCCCGGGTCTGTACACCTACTGTTCTCATTATGAAGGATTCCCACTATCCCTGCACTAAGTTCCCGGGTGTGTAAACCTACTGTTCTCATTATGAAGGGTTCCCGCTATGCCTGCACTGAGTCTACACACCTGCTCTGCCCATTTTGAGCAGTCCCTACTACCCTCACTGGGTTTTTATGCATTCTATATTATGGAGAGGAGTTGGAATTCACAAAGGTGAGCGGGAACACTCAAAATTCCCAGGTGGTCAGGAGTAGAGTCAGGAATTTTGGCAGGGAGATCTCAGTGCTGAAGCATCCAAGACATATAAGAAGCCAGGGGCTGACTCAACCCATCAGGTGCCATTGATAACTAAAATATTGCTTCTGAGTGGGCTAAATCTAGGTGATCATTTAACTTCCATGTTACATAATTAGGTTGAAAAAAGTCCATCAAATTCAAACTATGGAATGTGTGCCAATGAGACATTTTCAAACAGTCTTCTCTCTGAGGTATGATCTTGGAACCTATTCATTTGGACTGAATTCTTCTGAACCATCCTTACTGTGCCCCAAGACAAGGTCAAGTGTATCTGCAAGGTGACCAAACATCTACCCTCGGCCAAACCAACCACGATTGTTTATGGAAAGTTATAAGAAAGAATTTTACCATCAGGTCTATGGTTATCATACTCTCCAGTGCTACGAGTCACCAGCTGTGCGTTGCATTTGTCCCTGCTTACTGCTAATACAGTCGTATATGATCCAAGTAGGATGTGGCCCCTTAAATGCCCACCCCTAAATTGTTAATTGGCCTTCCTTTCGGAAGAGGAGACTGACTACTGAGGATTTCTAGAGTGATGCTAGAGCAAGAAAGGATGTTGAAGGACCTAAGTCTGGTTGACCTTGTCACCATTACTCCAGAAATAGGCGAGACCAATATATCAACTTGATGGCTCGAAACACATATAAAGAGACCCTGTTGCCAGACCATTCACTTTACCATAAGATATGTGCATTTACCATGTTTTAGGCATGTAATATCTCTGTAAAAGCCTCTGTGTAGACATGCAAATGTCCCGAGACTTCTGCTGGGCTTCGCCATCTTGGATGGGATGTCAACAGCCCAAGAAGACTCAGAGCTTTCACTCAAGTGATACTCTATGGACTTTCTTTCTCAACTGGTGGGTCATGACCCAAAAGTGGGTCGTGACCCCGTGTTCAGTGGGTCGCCGCATGCCTTCCACTTTTCTAGATGAGAGGCTTCTCAGCTTCCCCCTAGTGCAGCACTGTCAGTTCTCACGCCAAGCTGCCATTCGAAATATGCTGTCTGGTGCCGAGTATCAGTTTCAGGTGGGGTGGGCTGGGCCTGTGGCCGCGAGGGATCTCCATCCATACATTCATTGCTTACAGCTCATCACATTCTGGCTCCCGGCACCTCTACGGGCATGCATGGGAGCTTTACAAGCAATACACATATGGATGGAGCTCCATCACAGCACAGCAGCCCACACTGGACCCCAGGTTGAGGTTCCACTCCAGTTTCCGTAATGGCAACACAAACGCACTTCCCACCCACAGTTCGATCGCCTGCACCGGAAAGCGAAGTACCGCAACATGTTCTATAGAGGTGCCTGTACCGGAGTGTCATCATAGTCTGGCTCCATCACAGCAGCCCACACTGGACCCCAGGCTAAGGATCCACTCCAGTTCTAGGAGACTAGAACTCTAGGTGGGGAGACTGGGTGGGCCTTACAAAACATTTAACAAAATTCCAAAAATGTTGGGAGTGTGTATTGTGTGTGTGTGTGTGTGTGTGAGAATGTCTATGAGTGTGTGAGATTGTATCTGCATGTCAGTGTTTTTGAGGGCCCATTCACACTAGTACAGTGTGTTAAACTGTATCACGCAATTGCACCTACTGTGCATTCTGGTGTGGGAGGTGTGTTGCGTTGCCATTCATTGAATGGTACCCCAAATGCACCTCCCACCCACAGTTCGTATGCCTACACCGGAATGCGCGGTACCCTAATGCCGTGCATTCCATTGCAGTGCGATTTGGGTCGCGACTTATTGACCAAGGACAAAAGCGGGTCCTGAGGTTACACAGGTTGAGAACCGCTGCTCTATGGTTTCCCCCCCCAACAGCTACATGATTCTTTGCCATAATGCCTCATGACTATAAGCGCTCTTTCACATGTGAATCAGCCTGCCCACACAGCTCTGTGCTGCGTGCAGGGCCGTATCGGGCAGCTCCCCGGAAGTACAGGTGTTGCGTGCGATTAGTACGCAGCCCCCGTCCTTCTCTATGGGACTACGCGGCCATACGCCGCCCTGCGCTTACCTGCCCTGCGCGTCTGTGCGGGTGAGCGTACTCGTACGCTGACAGGATGGTTCCTCTCTGCGTCCGAGCCAGGACACACGCACCCGTACGGACCTGCACTTGAAGTGAGCGTAGGGGGGGGGCATACGGCCGCGTAGTCCCATAGAAAAGGACAGGGGCTGCGTACTAATCACACGCAGCACCTGTCCTTCCCGGGAGCTGAGCGATACGGCCGTGCACGCAGCACAGAGCTGTACGTGCCGACCGATTCCCGTGTGAATGAGGCCTAAAAAGGAAGCTGCAAAGGAGCCAGGCCGTTCTACGCGCTCACGCGGCCTCGCTGTTAGGTCAGGGCAGCTTCTATTAGTCCGATCTGGGAAGTGATGACCTTAATTATGTTTACAGGCAACCTGAGAACCCTCCCTGGATCCCAAAACAAAAGAAGCAGCGGGCAGAGACGGAATTCCACGAGCCCTTTATGTAATAATGAAAGTGATGACTGCTTCCTACTCCAGCGGAAAGAGACGACCAGCCGATGACAATGGGTCACGTCAAAACATCTCCTCGTCACATCCCGGAATCTGCGCTCTGATCTTGTGGGAGCGCCCTATGGGTCTGGTTTCCATCTCCCTTCTACAAATGTGTAATCCTTCTCAGGCTGCTGGAGGAAGCTGGGAATATTTCTCTTGGTTTTGTTTTGGGAAAAGATCATGTGAGAGGGCCCCATAGCAAAACCATTAATGGGCCCCAAGTCTCCCCCCATGGCTGTCTCAAAATGAGTTCCTCAAATAAGGAAGAGCACTCTCATAGCATAGCGGGGTCTCAAATGTCATAAAGATTCCAAATGCCAATGTATTGCTGGGATTTGTAGTCTTCTATAGCTGGTCTCCTTGCTCCCTCCCCTGGCTGCCTCTCCTCGCTCTCTCCTCTATATCCTCCCCCCAAAAAAAATTGGCACGCATGCTAGAGTGTTCAGGTTTTACTTAGAGAAAAGGTGGCAACCCGAGTGCAGGCTCCAGTGCAAAATATTGGTGGCTGCAGGCCAGGGGTGTCCCGAGGCCGGGTGTCACCCGCAGCGGAGACCAGGTGACGTCATCGCGCATGCGCGGGCATCTAATTTGACGTCTGGCGGCAGCCATTTTGGTGATGGACGCCGGCAGGGAGAGGAGGGGACGTTCACCCGGCGGGATGAGGTATGCCGCCGGCTCCCCTCCTCTCTCCTGACACTGTCGGGCTCTCTGTCCATGACCGAGTGCCCGACTTTTCAGAGGGGGTGACACCAAACTCACTGTCATTCATTTTGGAGTCACCCCTCCAATGGTGGTACCCGGGTGTGGGCCACACCCCCCTGCACCCCCCTTGTGACGCCACTGGTGCAGGCTCCAATGCAAAATAATTTCATATGAGCTTTAACATGCCAATGTCATTTTTTTTTTAAATCTTCAGCTTCTAATGCACATTGTGAGGAGCTCCCAGTGTGCAGTGACATCAGAGGGAGAGGGAGGAGCCGGTACAACTGTGCAAGACTGAAGGGGAGGACGGAGGTCAGATAGAAGACTGAAGGGAAGGA